GGTTTTTAACGAGCTATTAATCCCGCTTATCGCCCTATCTGCATTCTTTACGTTTAGCTTAACTGGTAACAATAACGCTTGCAGATATTGTATGTACAACAGTTTAACTGTGTTGATTTTATTTCAATGATAATTTTTGAAAGTGTTAGTTTAATTTTGCATGAAAGTAACGAATTTGTATTAGTCTCGTATGGGCTAGCATTCTAAAGACTTGGCTATATCTATACCATTTTCAAATATATAATGGTGTCTGTCTGCGAGTGAGTTGCTACATCAAATAAATGCACTGACACAAACGGGCTGAAATTTTACAAGTCCTAGTGATTACACTTTTCCTACAGTTTTGTGAAGGAATAATTAAGGACTATTTTTTCTCTTTTTTTCGTGTCTACGACAGTGGCATTTTTTTAATGAAGTCAAACACTTTTAAGGAAAAGCGGTCCAAACCCATTAAAGTTTTTTGTGGATGTGCCGGGATTTAACCTGTCCCTCCCGCACCGAAGTCCGAGACGCTAACCACTAGGCTAGCGGATGAGGGGAATCGATTTTTATATGGCATATTTTTTATTCATACCATAGTTTTAGCTGTAATATAGTAAATTGTGTACAGTTTCAATACCCTTGCGCCCATTGAATAGGCAAAGAATCGTTTACAACCTTGTATAAGTGGAAAAATATGATTATCAAATTCTGATATCGCACTTAAATTTTTGGGGCTAAAGGAGTAAAGTTATGAAAAAACATGTAATATGAGTGTTTTGTATATAATTATATTCTGACTCTGAAAATTCTGTAAAATCTTTGCACATTTTTTAGTTTTAGTCGTTTAAGGGAAAAATGTTTTCCCAATAATTTGTATATTCGAAACTATTTTTAGGGTGTTAAAATTTGAAAATGTAACGTTTTTGATTTTCCTAGGCTGTTTGGGACTAAGACGGACGTCAAGTCTCTAGCTTGTTTTTAAATAGTTCTGATGTCCAGTCCAAAGTCAGAAACTTTCAATGATATTCCCCTTAAGAATAAGATTATGGGGGGGGAAATTGGGGGGGGGGGGGGGTACTATTGTAAAATGTAGCTTTTGGGAATGTCCTAGGTCGTTTGGGACCAAGACCAACAATCCTACAAAATTTCAGATCTCAAGCTAACCTAGAAATGGGTAAATGCGATTTTGACCGTTGTCCTTGTAAGAATAACATTGAAGGGAAGGAATTCAATATATTTTGGGGGGGGGGCGTTATTATTTTTAGATGTTACTTTTTAAAAAGGGCACAAGACCTGCAATCGTGGCCAATTTCAATCTCCAGCTAATCTATAAGTAGGTAAACACGATTAAGATCGATGTGGTGGCTATAGGAAACACATTAGGGGGGAAATCAATTCCGGGGGGAGGGGGTTGGTAATATGCTTCTTTTTAATTTATAATTCGGTGTAAGCTGTAATGCAGTAAACTATGTATGGTTTCAATACACTTGCGCCTATGGAATATGTAAAGAGTATTTTAAAACCTTGTAAAAATAGTAAAATATTTCAAATTTTTACTTTCAATTTAAGTTGTTGGGGTTAAGTTACGAAAAAAATGTAGTGAGTAAGATAAACTAAGGAAAATAAAAAAAAATTTGTAAAAACAATTGCTAAGGTAGGAAAAAGTAGTGAAAACCATAAAAAGTTTAAAAGAATTTGACCAATTATTGAAAGTCTTATCGTTTTTGAGTTAGAGCCGTAAAAAATGAGTTTTTTTAGTTTCCGCCATTTTGGATTTTTCGGGTGTTAAAATTTTGAAAATGGGACTTTTGCAAATTTTACCATTAACTAAGGATCCCATACTACAATACTACCTAATGTCAAGTCTCTAGCATGTTTCATAACGATCAGATGACCATACCGACGTCATTAAATTTCAATGTTATTCTCCATAAGAATAACATGAGGCTCGTAAAAGTGGTAAAAAACCTTCAAATTTTGAGATTAAACCTAAGTTTTGGGGGTCAAGGAGTAAAGTTACGAAAAAACATTTAAGTGTAAAATTCAAAGTAAACTAAGGAGGATCCAAGGCATTAATAATATTTCCAAAAGAAATTATTTAGGATATAGCGAAAACCGTAAAAAATGTTAATGGAATTTACAAAATTTTGAAAGTAGGCTTTTTTTTATGGTAAAGGAGTACGATTTTCAAATAACGCTTAATGTGCTTAGTGTCTTGTAGGAAATTTAATTCCGAACCTACGTTTTTCCTCAAATATTTTCTAGCTCTTACTCTTTTCGAGCTATAGCCGTGTCAAAAAAAAAAACCTGTTTATCGTTTTCAGAGGTCCGTCATTTTTGATTTTTGTGGTGGTTAAAATTTGAAAATGGGACTTTTGCAAATTTCATCGGTAATGTAAGATCCCATACTACAATACTACCAAATTTCAAGTCTCTAGCACGTTTCTAAACGATTCAGATGACCATAACAAAGTCATTAAATTCCAATGTTATTCCTCATAAGAATAACATGGGGCTCGTAAAAACGTTCAAATTTTGACATTAAAATTATGTTTTGGGGGTCAAGGAGTAAAGTTACGAAAAAACACTTGATGAATAAAATTTAAAGTAAAGTAAGGGAAATACAAAGCAATAATAATGTTTGGGAAAAAATATCTAAGTATGAAAAAATAGCGAAAACCGGTAAAGATTTAAAGAAATTTATCAAATTTTGAAAGTAGGGCGTTTTTTGAAGCTGAAGGAGTGCGATTTTCGGAAAACGCCATGAAAGGTTATGTAGAAAATGTAATTACTGTTCATGAAAATTCTTTCAAATCTTTTCTAGCTCTTACCGTTCCCGAGCTATAGCTGTTTGAAAAAAACGTGTTTTGTCGTTTTCAGAGCTCCACCGTTTTGGATTTTTTGGGAGGTTAAAATTTGAAAATTTGACTTTTGAAAATTTCACCATTAACTTAGGATCCCATACTACAATACTACAGAATTACAAGTCTCTAGCACGTTTCTAAACGATTCGGATGACCTTAACAAAGTCATTAAATTTCAATGTTATCCTCCATAAGAATAACATGGGGCTCATAAAAACTTAATTTCGATATTAAAATTAAGTTTTTGGGGTCAAGGAGTAAAGTTACAACAAAACATCAAATTAGTAAAATTTAAAGTAAATTAAGGAGAATACAAAACATTAATAATATCTGCGTAATTTGTAATTTGGATTTGTCTTTTTCATATTCGAGAATCTCTTCACCGTATCAAATGTTCTGCGAGGATAGATTTCATTGTTATTCGGTTTTCTGATCTCAAAGCTTGAATGTGTTCTTTAAATCGTTTTTTTAAAACTTCGGCTTGTTTGCCCAATGTAGGACTTATATTCGGAACATTTTATTTCATAAATGCCTAATTCCTAATTATCTAATATCTTGACTTTGGTTGGCTATATTTCCTTTTGAAATTTTGTTATCTATAATTTGAAATGCTTTAATATTTTTTTCTGTAATTGATTTGCATATTTGAATGGTTGAAAGTTTGTTTTGTAGCCTTGTTAATTTTGGTATTGAGTGGTATGCAAATGATTTTTTTTTCTTTTTTCGAAGTAATTATTATATTAAGAATACCTTTTAATACGATATCTTTTGCAAGAGCAAAAGAAACCGCTAGTTAAAAAGTGTACTGTAGTTTAGATGTAAAAAAGAACATGTTTTTATAGTATTTATACAAAACATAAATGTTCGTCTAATAAAATAGATCGCAAGATATACGAGAAAGGTCTTCGAAAGTAGTAACAAAACCTATTTAAGTCATCCAATTTGCCGCTATATTTCATTTTCTCCACGAGTCGTCCATCAACGTTTTCTATATTGACCTTTTATATATTATTCGCTGGCAATTAGATTGATAAAACTAAATAAACTTTTAAGATTACCGTACTTATTAAAATACCTAACAATCTAATATAACATTTACTAGGCTAATATTACTAATAATCTAATATTTCTTAAATGTGTAATTTTTTTATAACGTTTCTTTATAATTTTAAGTGATGTGTGTATACTTAGCAATACAATATAATATTTTTCTAAACCTGTAGTTTTGGTTTCAGGTGAGGAAAATTATATTTGATTTGTTTCTTTAATGAGTGATTTGGTTCTTAGTAATACAAAATAATACATCTATTTGGAATCTGTCAGCAACAAAGCCAGACACTGTGGAATGTGTTATAACGTTTCTGACACAACAGAGCACGTTGCAATGTCTGACCCAGCTGTCGACTAATAGTGAGGAGTATGGTGACATGTGTGTCAAATTTCAATCGCGTTATACTCCAGATAGAAAATTCCATTTCATTGTTCTATTTAGTTCGACGAATAAAAAAATAAAACCTTTTCCATTGGTCTCTGTAATTCGTTAAACTATAATAGTTACAGGATTTTAGCTCATAGCGCTCTCAGTACACATACGTTATTGGACGTGTACAGAAAACAGCTCACAAGAGTGAAAACAAATGTTATGGTCTTCAAATAGATAGTGAATCGCTTAAAGATGCAAGTAAACAGACATGTAATAATAGAAAAGTAATTCATATAATTCAGTAAGCCCTATTTAAGATTGGGCATACAGTTGGACAAGGCACAAACGCCTCCTTGCGTCTTATTTGTTTTTGCTGTGACGAGTTTATAGGTAATCTAATATTAGGTTAGTCGTTGTTATTCACGTCACAATATGAGGCAACCCCATCCCTTCTTATACTGTCTAATATACCATCCCTCCCTTCACCCCCTGCACGTCCGTCATCGTCTGGCGGAATACAAAGTAGGCGGCTGTTCTGTTCGATTAATTACATTGCAAGTTTTAGTAGCACCAAAACCGAGAGAGGTTCTGTTATTTTATCTATTAATTAAACTATTTTGATTAAATAATCATTTCTAAACAAGATAGTGTTTATTCTGCAAATTCATAACATAACATAAAAATCAACAACTAGAGATCAGCTGGTTATAGCAATACCAACATCTCCCTCTTTAACTTTTAAATGGACGAATGAATCTTCTATTGCGTCTAAATAGTCTTCCTTCAATTGCTACAATGTAAGTTCTCAACCCATCCACAGTTACTATTACGCCAGGCGTCCATGGTTCTGCTTTCATGTCTGGTCTCTTCTGTATTAATACCTTTTGCCCAACTTTAAGTGGGTCCAATGCATGAGTGCCTTTATCATAGTGCTTCTTGTATTTTTCTTGTTTTTCCTTCAACTTGTCTGTGACTCCTATATGTATCTTTGGATTTAGTTTCATCTCTGTTACTGGCAAACGAGTCTTTGTTGATCTTGACATTAATAACTGCACAGGACTTGCACCCAAGTCAGCCAATGGTGTATTTCTCCACTCTAATAGAGCTGCTTGATAGTCTTCTTTACTTTCTTTTACTTTCTTTAACATTCTCTTAGCAATTTTAACCGCTGATTCTGCCTTACCATTGGATTGGTGATTATGCGGTGAAGAAACAACAATTTTAAACATCCAAGTCTGGGCAAAAAGCTTGAAGTCTTGGCTAACTAGTTGGGTACCATTGTCAGAAACAACAACGTCTGGTATTCCGTAGCGAGCAAATTGTTCTTTACAAAACTGAATCAGGCCTTCTGTTTTCAGCGAATTCACCTTCTTTAGTTCAAAAAATGATGAAAAATAATCCGTCATTATAAGAAAGTGGTCACTGCCCAGCTGGAAGAAGTCAATTCCAACTCTTTGCCATGCTCTAGTTGGAGTATTATGAGGCTGTAAGGGTTTCGATTTCTGAGCTGGAGCATACTTTTGGCAAGGCCAACATGTTTCAACAGTTCTTTGGACATCTCCAGCCATTCCCGGCCAAAATAAAACCTCTCTTGCTCTTCTTAAACAAGACTCAACTCCTTGGTGAGAAGAATGTAAAATTTTAAGCATGGCAGGTCTCAAAGAACGTGGAACTACTATACGGTCTCCTTTTATTACGATTCCATCTATCGCTGATAGTTCATCTCTAACACTCCAGTATTCCTGTAGGTCTTGAGGAACATGAGAACGTTTATCAGGCCACCCTTTTTTAATTGTGTCCACAAGATTATTCATTACAGGGCATTTGCTTGACTCTTCTTTTATCTCCTTAATCCTCTCATCGGTAGCCTAATATTAATGTTGTCTAAATCATTAATGTTCTGTAACTCTGCTTGGAAGATTAGGTCGTCAACTGTTTCTCTGCCGGTTACTTTAAGAGGCGATCTGGACAGAAAATCTGCGACATGCATTGATGTGCCTGGCTTGTATTGTACACAAAAGCTGTATTTTTGAAGTCGTAAAAGCATCCTTTGCAGTCTCTTAGGAGCTGAAATCAAGGGCTTCTTGAATATTGTCTCCAAGGGCGTGTGATCAGATTCAACTATAATATCTCTATGTCCCATCAAATACTGTTCAAAGCGTTCAAGTCCAAACACAATAGCTAGACACTCTTTTTCAATTTGTGCGTAGGCAACTTCAGTCTTAGTTAATGTTCTTGAAGCATAGGCAACGGGCTTACCTTGCTGCATGAGACAAGCCCCTAGGCCATATTGACTAGCGTCACATTGCACAACACAACTCTGTGTCTGGTCAAAGTACTTTAATGTTGGAGCTTCTTGAACCATCTTGAGCAACTTTTGAAAAGCATCTTTCTGTGGGTGGTCCCATACCCACTCACTATCATCTTTCAGCAAATTTCTAATCGGTGTTGCTACTTCTGATAGTCTTGGTAGAAACTTTGATAGGTACACAACGTATCCTAAGAATCTCTTGACTTCTTCTTTTGAAGTAGGAGCTGAAAGTTTGCTTATAGCTTCTACTTTGCTAGGATCAGGACACAACCCATCTGCTGTAATAAGATGTCCCATGTATGGAATTTTTTCTACACCTATTTTACACTTATTCTTGTTGAACTTTAACCCTTTAAGCTGAGCTTGTTGCAAAAGGGCATTCAGCTTCTTGTCAATGTCAATCATAGCTTCTTGAACTGTGTTTCCTTTTCCAAATACCATAACATCATCAGCTATTGCCACAACCCCTTCAAGACCTTCAAGGTTTTCGTGAACTCTTCGTTGAAACTCTTCAGGAGCATTAGCAACACCAACTACTGACCCAATCAGTAGGCTCTGTTACCTTGACGATGACTCCGAGCTGTTCAAGTCTATCTAATTCAGCACATATTTCTTTTTTCAACGCTAGAGGATGTCGCCTGGGTGCTGCTATTGAAGGTGGTACCGACGGGTCAGTTCTTATGCTGCAAAGACCTTCAAAACTACCTAATCCTTCAAATACGGTAGGAAATTTATCAAATAGGCTATCATATGTTGGTGTGTGGCCGTTTGGTTAGATGCTGTGAGAGCCTGGAAAACCTCTTCATCTGTTGAAATCAAGCCTAGTCGAAGACAATCTGCTGCTCCTATAAGAGGATTTCTCTCAGAATTCAGAATTTCAAATTTTAAATCAAAAATATTCTTTTTGAATTTTGTTTTAAGCACAATGCTGCCGTGTCTAATGAGTTTTGGGATGACCCGCCATAGAAACACAAAGTAGTGGAGCTACTGTTAAGTTTAGGATTTTCATCGTCCAGAATAGTTTTTAGATATCGTAGCCCCATAACGTTACAAGTTGCACCTGAGTCAAGCTTGAACTTTCTGAGCTTTTTGTTGACCATCATTTTTACAAAAAGTCGTTTTTTGTACTGGATATCGTTAAGTTCCATTACTTCCTCTTCACTTTGGCTATCTTGATTAGCTTCACTGTCATTATCTTGGACCAAATTAACTTTACCGGAACTTCGGCACACGCTGCTGAAATGGTTCTTCCTTCTACAATTGCTGCAAACTTTACCAAACGCAGGGCAGTTTTTTGCTCCCTTGATATGTTTTTTACCACAAAAACGACAGGTCCATTTGTTATTTAAGTGTCTACTCTTTGCTTGAAATGCCGCCTCTTCTGATTTCACTGTCATTTTTGTAACAAACCTTTCAGTTGTTTCATGATGCATACATATTTCTATAGCTTCATCAAGTTTTAGGTCTTTTCTACGCAAAAGTGTCCTTTTTAATTCAGTATTGGTTATGCCTACAACAAGTTGGTCACAAATTAGAGTATCTTCAAGGCCTATCTTGCCCAGATTTGTTAAAGAATCAATATCACACAATCGTATTTGCTCTTTTAAACGACCTATAAAGTCTTTAGTTGCTTCATCAGTCTTTTGAACGATGCCATTAAAAATTAATCTCTCATACAAGGGATTGTTTGTCCCTAAAAAATACTTATCCAAAGCTTCAATTACCTGATCCAGGGTTGATTCGTTGGAGCCAAGTATTTTTTCAATCAAACATAGTCCATCGCGGCCAATTACAGTTGAAAACATGGCCATCTTCAGTTTAGGTGTACTTAACCTTGTACCACCTAATGCTCCTGCTTCAACTAAGATCAAATAGTTCTTCCATTGTTTCTTGAACACTTCCCAGTTCTCTTACTCGCGTTGGGTTACTTAAGTCCAGTGGATTCGGTACTACTGACACCATGTTATTTTATCTATTAATTAAACTATTTTAATTAAATAATCATTTCTAAACAAGATAGTGTTTATTCTGCAAATTCATAACATAACATAAAAATCAACAACTAGAGATCAGCTGGTTATAGCAATACCAACAGGTTCTTTAACTGTTAGCAGTTTAATTAACTTAGACCTCCTCTCATACGTACAAAATTTAACAACTCGTTTTTGTAACTGGTGTTTAACAAAACCAATAGTTACACAACTTACTTTACTGGAAACTTAGGGTTTGTTTTCATTGCCAGTTGAAAGTTAGTTTATTTCTGTTGTTTTCAATGTATAACCTGTCATTGACATGGAAAGATGAAGAACTTCGTAATTTACATCAGAACGGTGACTCAAAATTTAAGTAGCACTATTAGTTTGACGAACACAAAGTTGTCAACATATCTTGCTAGAAATCTTCTTTGAGTGACAAGTCGATATAGGTTTAATAACAATACGTTGGATTTTATTTTTATTCATTTTTTTGATTCATTTATCAATGAACATATTTTATTGAACACTTAATGTATAACTATTACACATACTCAAATTGGGGAGCGGAATAGAATTTCTACTTACAAATATTTTGATTATGTCATAACTGTTAAATAAAATTAATGGACAGTTACTTCATAAAAAATTACAAAATTTCTTTTATAGCAAGAATAACACAAATTCTTTAACTGTGGAAAAGAAGGTTGGTAGGTTCAGCAGTGTTGTTGTCCACCTGAACCACCCCTGCCGCAACCCCTTGCCAAAAACCTCTCCTAGCACGTGCACCTGTAGTACTTCCATCCCGCCAAAATCCTCTCCATCCACGACCAGGTGCTATATTGCCTTCTTGAGCCAGACCTCGCCCACCATTACCCACATTGCCGCCTGATGCCACAACTTCCTTTTCGATCTCCACATTGCTATCCTGCACACCTCGGCTGCCTCTAAGTGCCGGGCCTCCCCTTCCCCGAACGAAACTGCAAACTACAACAGTTTACTTATTCTCTATAATCATTATTTGCATAACAACGCTTGTATCGTATTTTATATGATAATATTATTTATTTTTAAGCTGTACAAAAGGGTTAGGAGAGAAATTGCAAAATTTAATGTTTCAGGGTCAAAAATGAGAAAACCCATTTTTTACTACATAAAACCATAAATGGCCAAGGTTTAAAAATATACTTTCAGCAATTTGTATAATGTTTATAAGAGATTTTTTGGGAAAGAAATTATTACAATGCAACGTTCATTGTGCTTAATTAATTCAGTTCATGTCAAGAATTCGAAAAAGTGAAATGTCTAACACAGCAATATCATCATGTGAAGGAGTGTGTTGTCGAGGGGGTCGGGTAACTTAGGCAACATCCGTGCATTTCACATTAAGGAATATGTTTCGTACATAAAGCAAATTTTTTTGACACTGCATGTTAACTGTTAGAATCTGGCACAAACTTATAAATACTCACGAGTATTAACAAGTCTGTCTAGGTTTTACAGGATGAACCGATCTAATTTATCCTATATAATTGGTCTTCTTGCACGAACAGCATCAATCAACACCTGCGTATCCATGCTGAACTATAAACACTTTACCAACAGACACAACCGATGCTACTGTGTCTATGAACCACAACAAACTGAGGCACGCTTGCTTGTAGAAACAAATATTTTTGTTTCGTGATTTGAGAAGCGCAAGCTTGTCCCAGCGTGCGCTTGCTAGTGGCGAGCACTGTAACCACCACTGGTCAAGTCGCCACCGGTTTCCAGTAATCTGCTACAATTTTGTTTCAAAGGGTAAGCTTGGCCAAGCGTGCGCCACCATTTTACTTGCCCAAGCGTGCCTCCAATGTAAACGCAGCCTTAGATTAGTTAAAATACTAATAACTGATTATTGATGTGAAAGGTTTGAATTTTTTAACGGATTTAGTTAAAAAGATATTAAACTGTTTCCAGACTTTTTTGTCACCCTGTATAATGGTGTCTGTCTGCGAGTGAGTTGCTCAATCAGATAAATGTACTTACAAAAACTGGCTGAAAGTTTACAAGTCCTAGTGGTTACACTTTCCCTAAAGTTTTGTGTAGGAATAATTTAGGACTATTCCCGAGACTAACTAAGGGCTCTTCTCTGTTAGCTTTTCTGAGGCGAGGCTTTAAAAAGTAAAATTGATTGAACTCCATGGCAAACACAGGAAAACTCGCAATGTTTACAATTAATTGTTAGATATTCCATTGTCAACAAGCGAATTTCTTTACAATTACACAAATAAAATTTACAAAT